TTCTGCCTCTGGTAATTCCAAGAAATTCTCTTCCCTGAAAATTTATTGATTCTTTATTTTGGGAGGCTTGCTGAAGCCATCATGGTTTGCCTCTTTATGTGATTTGATATTGACTGTTGTCTCTGAGCGTTCAAGAAGTTATTATGTTTATTTATTTTATGTTTGCTTACTATGTCCTACCTTCTTGTTTTGTTTTGTTTTGATATGCCGAAATAGACTGCTCATGTGAGCTAGTTTGGTTACTGGTGCCTTTGAAGCTCTAATGTCCTGTCACCAGGTGGTTAGATCTATTACTAAGTATGTGAGCCCAAGAGTCTATTTACTTTTCTTGTATGGATTCAGCTCAGGTGTCCAGGTAGTTGGTCACGAAGTATGTGGTGCGGGCTCTCACCTACTTTCCTAGACACGCATGGGTGATTTGCGTAGACATATCTGGCTGTAGTAGCGGTTCACGTGCTGAGCAAGGCAGGGGACTGATGGCTGCCCCTGAGTGTCTGGGAGGAAAGCATGTCCCTGTTCCCTAGAGCACATAGGTGGGCGGGTTTTTCAGCCAGACTATCAGCACACAGTGCTGTTGGCTGTAAACTCTGGGGTGCACCACTTATTCTTGGATCCCTGTCGCGGGTAGCTAGGTGGCATGGTGGAGCCACCAGTCCTCAGGCCCCTGATGTGGGCAGGTGAAGAACCTGCTTAATGGGCAGAGCAGTGTCAGATGTCACAAACCTGCCACTTCACAGCTGAAACAGTTGAAGTTTGACTTCAGGTATATACCCTGTTGTACTATGATAATGAGTTCCTACGCTGTTGAAATGGGCCAACACAAGTCTGTGCAGGCATGAAAGGCATTCAAAGTCTGTGGACCCCTTATGCCTAGGCCTAGGCAAAGGAACTGTGCCTACCCTGAATTCCTGGCTTAGGGGAGCTGGCAGATTATTTTTTCCCTGTTTCTTAGTTTGTTCCCTCTCCAAGGCCAGGAGAATGGCTCAGGGCAGGTGATGGGTCCTACTTCCGGCCCAGGGGACTCGGCAGTTGCTGAAGCCGGCCTGGGACCCAGCGCAGAGCGGGGAAGGGGGAGGTAAACGAGACAGAGGTTTTTCCCAAAGGGGGTGTTTTTCGATTTGCGTGGTAGGCCAGACGCAAGTAATTATCTTATGCTGATTGAGCGCTACTTTTCACTGGTTCTGGATGCCCAAGTAGACTCTCTGCCACTGGGTCTCTCCTGATGTGGAACACGCCTTCTAAGCACCACTGCCTGCCTCACCACGCACTCGAGCCAATCCAGCCTGAAGGGTTCTGGCTCCCGCCAGGTCAGATCTGACAACTCGCTGCTTCCAAACCATCTCTCCCTCCCCCCGCCACTCAGTCCAATTCCTCAACTTTGCCTTTGATGTTCAGGGCTCCTAGATTGTCACATGCCATCAAGTCACTTGTTTTTTTGGGTCTTTGTTGTAAGAGGGACCCCAGGAAGCGTCTGACTACTCCGCCATCTTGGCCCCACCCTTACCTTTTTTAAAAAAATATTTTCTTGTATTTTTGATGAAAGTGTGCATAGCAAAACAGGTTCTCATTCAACAATTTCTATACATACTGTTCAGTGACATTGATTACATTCTTCACATTGTGTCAACATTCTCATCATTATTTTCACTCTAGTTGTTCCATTTCTAATAACTTAGTCTCCTTGCCTCCCCACCCCACCCCGCCCCACCTTCTCATTTATGCTCTAAAGTAATTGTTGATCTTTAGGTTTCATATTGATTATTTTTTTAAAGGTGCACAGTACTCAAGGGTGATATTCTTTGCTTTAGGAGCTAAACTGCTCTGTAGCTAAAAGATGACTTCAGGGGATAGTTTTGGCTCAAGGTTTAAAGGGTTATGACGTTACTTTTAACTTGAAGTAATTTATGACATTTGGCTTCCGTGGGGCAGTATTTCTGCCTTAGCTCAGAGAGTTGGCCGTTTGTTGGAAGTGGTGGTGGTGATATCTGCAAATGTTGGCTGAACACCCACTGTGCGCAGAGCACTGTTAGGTGTTGGGGAAATAAAGAGGCCTGACACTCAGGCCCACCAGAAAGGACTTTTTTTTTTTTTTAAGAGATAGTATGTAGGTGACAGTTTGTAGTAGCAAATGCTAACTAATAAAGTAACATTAATAACACTCCTTGAGTTTTTGCTGCGTACTGAGTGTGATTTATTCTAAGCTCTTAGCCTGTATCATCTCATTTAATTCTCTCAACAGTTACATAAGCAGATAACTATTCTTTTCTGCTTTTTGTTGTTGTTGGGTGCTGTCAAGTGATGTCCCCATGTGACAGAGCAGAGCTGCTCCACAGGGTTTTCTAGGCTGTAATCTTTACAGGAGCCGATCACCAGGCCTTTCTTTCATGGAGCCGCCAACCTTTGGGTTAGCAGCTGAGCATTCTTTCATGGAGCCGCCAACCTTTGGGTTAGCAGCTGAGCATTCTTTCATGGAGCCGCCAACCTTTGGGTTAGCAGCTGAGCACTTAACCGTTATGCCACCAGGGCCTTTTACAGATGAGGAAATTGAGCCACAGAGAGCTTAGTCAGCTTTTGGTGGTGCTAGAAAGTGGGGAAGCTGGGATCCGAATTCCAGCAGTCTGAGTCCAGGGCAGCTCTGGGCACTCTTAGTCACTGTGTAGATAGCAGAGGAGAGGAACGGACCCTCAGGGCTGACCAGGGAGGAGTGAAGGGGCTGTGGAGGTCACCACAGCTCTTCCAGGAGTCCCAATTCAGGCACCAGGACACGGGTACCAGTTTTCCTCAGAAGGCCTGGCATCCTGAGTGCCCTGTGGACTTTGCCTGGGTGTTGGCACCCTGGACCTGAGGGGGTCAGTGGTCTGAGTTGGCTCTTTCTCTCTTTCTGCGCTGCATTCTGCTAGTCACCTACCTCCTGCCACCTCTCTCCATGTCCTATCCTGGGTGTTTTCCCAAAGCTTGACTCCTGTCCGGTTCCCGTCTTCCTGTCCCTTATCCCTCGGTCACTTCCTCCTCAGCCCGTTGTCTCTCTTCTTGGCATTTATAAGACACACTTTGTTCCGAGAGAGATGAGGTGTCCATGGCAGCTGCTCCTATCAGCTGATCTCAGCTGTCTGTGTTGTCCTTACGATCATCACCCCTTCTGATGCACCCCATGTCTCTACAGGAGCGGAATACCCCGGCCCCAGCCTTAGGGCACCCAAACTCTGCCTGTCCCCCAGGAGCTCCGGTTCCCCAACCAGACTGGCCATCCCCTTGTCTTTGAGGCTCTGGCCTCAGACTGGGTTCGGTCGTTGGGTCTGGGAGCTGCCCTGTGTCACATGTGATTCTGCCCGCTGTGCCCATTTGCTTTGCTGCCTCAGGCCTGGCCATGGGGCCCCGCCGTGGTGGGAGGCTTGTTCTCCCCACAAACCAGGGCTCCAGGACTTATACCTGGGAGCAGCAGCACTGTCAGCCTTGGGGATGGGGCTGGTCAGTGGCAGAGCTGAGCAGTAGCCTTGGCCACCCCCCACCTACGCAGCAGAGAAAGAGAGGAGAAAGGAAGGAGCGGAGAATGGCAGAAGGGGAGAGAGGGAAGTGGCCACACAAGGAGGGCGAAGAGAGGAGGCGCATGTCCCTGGGTTCCCGCAGCCATGTGGCTCCCACTGGGCTGTGCGTGGCCAGGCTCTGGCTGGGGTGCAGGGGCCTTTGTGGACCTCTTCACCAAACCCAGCGAGGACAGTCACAGAGGGACAAGCATGGGGAAGGATACCTGCCAACTAGGGAAGAGGCCCTCCAGGAAGGCAGGAGGCGGGGGTGTATTTTGGGATTCAACCACACCTATTACCTTTCTTTTTTTTTTTTAAAGGAAGATCTGAAGGAAATGTGACCAAAAAACAAAACAAAACCCAAACCCCTTGCTGTCAAGTCAGTTCTGACTCATGGCAACTCCATGGGTTACAGAGTAGAACTGCTCAGTAGGGTTTTCTTGGCTGTTATCTTTATGGAAGCAGATTGCCAGATTGCCAGGCCTTTCTTCCGTGGCAGTGGCACTACTGGGTAAGTTCGAACCACCAACCTTTAGGTTAGTAGTCAAGGGCAAACTGCTTGTACCACCCAAACCAAAAGCCAAACTCGTTGCCATTGAGTTGATTCCAACTCACAGAGACCCTATAAGACAGAGTAGAACTGCCCCATAGGGCTTCCAAAGCTGTAATCTTTATAGAAGCAGACTGCCACATCTTTCTCCCATGGAGTGGTTGGTGGGTTTGAAGCACCAACCTTTTGTTTAGCTGCTGAGTGCTTAACCACTGTGCCACCAGGGCTCATTTTGTGCCACCCAGGGACCTGGAGATAAGACAATAATAATATTCATTAAGTTTTGGGAGATAGGTACTTGGATATTTCATTTTTTATCTGTACTTTTCTGTATTTTTGAAATATTCATAATTAGAGGGAAGACACAGTTAAGGGAAATAATAAGGGGGTGCCCTAGACTAGGAGTCAAGGATCATTGTTGGTTTAGTGTTAGAATTCTTACCTTCCATGAGGGAGATCCAGGTTCGATTCCTGACCAGTGCACCTCATGCACAGCTACCACCCATCTGTCAGTGAAGGCTTGCGTGTTGTTATGATACTAAACGGGTCTCAGCGGAGCTTCCAGACTAGGACGGACTAGGAAGAAAGGCTTAGCAATCTACTTCCGAACATCAGCCAATGAAAATCCCGTGCATCACAATGGTCTGATCTGCACCCGATCATGGGGATGGCACAGGACTGGGCAGTGTTTCATTACATTGTGCATGGGGTCGTCATGAATTGAGACCGGCCTGATGGCGGTTCACAACGATAGACTGGAAGCCAGGCTCTGCCTCTGATTTGCCCCGTGACTGACCATTCATTCCCCTCTCTGGACCTCAATTTTGCATCTGTGGGGTGGAACAGTCTCGGCAGGGGGGTCCCTGATGTCCCATGGGCCGCAGGCCAGGAGCTGGCTGGGACACTGACTGCAGGTGTGTCCCCAGCCTGACTGCCACCATGCCCACCTCGGTGCTGTGGGCAGTGGACCTCTTCGGGCGCGTGTACACGCTCTCCACTGCCGGGCAGTACTGGGAGCCCTGCCGGGACACACAGCTGGAGTTCAAGCGGGTCACCGCCTTGCGGCAGTGCTGCTGGGGGATTGCTGCCGACAACCAGGTCTACGTGTACGTGTGCGCCAGTGACGTCCCCATCCGGCGCCGGGAGGAGACCTATGAGAACCAGGTAGCACCCTTGGTACCCTCGGCCCTGCCACCCGTGTTTTGAGTGCTGAGTTGGTTGGTTTGTTGGGTTGCTGGTTAAAATGACAAAACAGAAGGAAAATAGAGCCCCCCAATTTCTGCATTCATTTCCTTCATTACACTTTATACTTAGTATATGATACTTGGAAACCCTGGTAGCATAATGTTTAAGTGCTATGGCTGCTTACCAAAAGGTTGGTGGTTTGAATCCACCAAGTGCTCCTTGGAAACCCTGTGGGGCAGTTGTACTCTGTCCTGTAGGGTCGCTATGAGTTGGGATCAACTCAACCGCAACGGGTTTCATTTGTTTTGTTTTTGTCATATAATACTTAAATAATAATCATATAATACTTATACTAAATATTAACATTATATAAAATATAGTAAGTACAGTAAGTAATACTATTAAAAAAACCCAAACCCGTTGCCATCAAGTCAATTCTGACTCATAGCGACCCTATAGGACAGAGTAGAACTGTCCCATAAGGTTTCCAAGGAGCTGCTGGTAGATTCAAACTGCTGACCCTTTGGTTAGCAGCCTAGTTCTTAAGCACTGTGCCACCAGGGCTCCAGGTAATACTATAGTATAATATAAAATTATATAATAAATATTATAGTAATATAAGGTTACTATATTATTTTACTATAAAATAGCATAATAAGTATGTAGCACTTTTACAAAAAAAAACAAACCCATTGCAGTTGAGTCGATTCCGACTCATAGCGACCCTATAGGGCAAAGTAGAACTGCCCCATAGAGTTTCCAAGGAGCACCTGGTGGATTCGAACTGCTGACCTTTTGGTTAGCAGGCGTAGCTCTTAACCACTATGCCACCAGTGTTTCCGTAGTACTTACGGTATGACATATATTCTTGGGTGACACAAGCAGTTAAAGCTGCTGACTGAGAGATTGGAGGTTCGGGTCCACCCAGAGCTACCTTGGAAGAAAGGCCTGGCCATCTATTTGAGAAGAAGCCATTGAAAACCCTGTGGAGTGCAGTACTAATCTGACACTTGTGGGTCGCTATGAATCGGAGTTGGCTGCTCCGACAACAACTAGTATATTAACACAAGCTTCATTATACTTTATACCTAAGAGGATACAGTGTCCAGGGTCTTTGTGTCCTGAACAAAGCAGGCTGCCAGGCCCCTTCCAGGAGCCCCAGACGGGCCGGGCTCTCACCACTTGCCTGGAGGGTTCTCTGTCCTCTGGTCAGTGGTGATATGTTGGCTCGGGAGGAGTTGTGGGGGTCCCTGACCCCCGAGTTCCTGCAGGCCCCTGCTAGGTCTTCACGTAAGAGGAGCCTGCCTGGTGGGAGCCATTGATCTGGGAGAGGCCCTGCCGCCTGTCTTGTTGGTGGCCCCTCGTAGGCTCCGCCCTGCTGTCTGGGACCAGCTGCCGCTCTCAGGCCCCATCTCTGTCTACACCTCCCCCACCCCCCCACCAGCGCTGGAACCCTGTGGGCAGCTTCTGTGAGAAGCTCCTGCCAAGTGACCGCTGGCCGTGGAGTGACGTGAGTGGGCTCCAGCACCAGCCACTGGACGGGGTGGCACTGCCCTCACCCCACTGGGAGTGGGAGTCAGACTGGTACGTGGATGAGAACTTTGGAGGGGAGCCCACCGAGAAAGGGGTAGGTGAACGTGATACCCATGTGGCTCCCCATGGGGAGGTGGTGTCTTCGCTCCACGTCCCCCATTGCGCTCTCCCCATCACCTCATGGCATCCCCCCTCCCCACTGCGAGGCTTGCTGGGACTAGACCTTTCCCGACACCTTGCTCCCTCCGCTCCCTCCGCGTCCTCCACTTTGCCGCCTGCTTCCACCCTCCTAGCTCTTAACATCTTCACATTCCTCCCCTGAGCCCTACAGAGGCCCCCTTGATGTTCCAGGGGTGGACATACGCCATCGACTTCCCTGCCACCTACACCAGGGACAAGAAGTGGAACTCCTGCGTACGGCGGCGGAAGTGGATCCGGTACAGGAGATACAAGTCCCGAGACACTTGGGCCAAGGTCTCCGTGGCTCGGGGTGTCCTGAGGGTGGGGCAGGGCTGAGAGGAGGAACAGGAACTCGCTCTCCAGGGGAGCTCAGCCACTCAGGGTCCAGCGGTCCAGTGATAGAAGATTCCCCCAGAAGCCTCCTCCCTGCCTGTGCCTGAGGGTCCTCCAGGCACAGCCCCCCGGCCTGGCCTCTGAGCTGTGCTTCCTGTCCCGGGACCCCACGCCACTGTACCTCCTTTCCTTTGGGAGGAGGCCCCAGGATAGCACAAGCATGCCCTGACCCACGTCTTGGGACTGCTGTCCCGGACGAGCACCTCAGGCCCCTCACCTGCCCCCAGGGGAGCCACGCCTGGCTCTTCTGCTGTTCCCGTGACCCAGGAAACCCCCGAACTTACGGACAAGAGGCCTGGACCCCAGTCCTGCTGTGGCCTCAAAGGAGAGAAAGGCCTCAGGTACCCTCCGGGCCTCCCTGAGCGGCCCAGCTGTAAAGGGCTACCAGCCTGCGGGGTGATGGGATTCATGGCGTTCAGGTCACGGGTGCACAGAGCCAGGGTCTCGAGTGTATGTGTGCCCTCCACCCTGGAGCAGGCACCTCCCAGGACCGACAGAGAGGACAGGGCAGGGGGACAGAGGGGAGCCCCGCCCTGATGCTGCCGTCTCTGCCACCTGAGGCAACTGGAAAGCCAGACAGTTCTGGGCCAAGCTGGGGGTGGAAGGCAGTACCACGAGCCAGAGGGGAAGCAGCCCAGGTACCCTCAGGAGGGAAGGGTGCAGGTGCCTGGCCCAGGTGCCCCCTAGGAGGGCATGGTGTGGCTACCCGGCCCAGATTTCTCCCAGAGAGGAGCAGTAAGAGTCCATGGCCCAGGTGCCTCCAGGAGGGGAGGGGAGGGATGCCCAGCCCAGGTGCCAACGCCATGGGCCCAGGTGTTCCCCTAGGATGAGGATGGTATGGGCACCGGGTCCAGGTGTCCCCAGGAGAGGAACATAGGGGTACCCAACCCAGGTGCCCCTAGGATGGGGAAGGTTGGGGTATCTGGCCCAGGTGTTCCACAGGAGGGGAAGGTGGGGGTACCCAGCCCAGGCACCCCCAGGAGGGGAAGGTGGGGGTACCTGGCAGAGGAGCTAACCGCCATTGCTCCTCACCTTCTTGTCTCAGATCCCTTCGAAGGACGACCCCAAGCAGCTGCCGGACCCCTTCAATGACCTCTCTGTGGGCGGGTGGGAGATCACGGATGAGCCCGTAGGCCGCCTGTCAGTGTGGGCTGTGTCTCTGCAGGGAAAGGTAAGGCGGAACTTGGATGGGAGGTGGACCCGCATGGGGCAGGTGACGCTGGCCTTACACTGCCCTCCCAGAGGTGGGGGAAGGAGGGGCTGCAATAGGGACCTTCCCCTCAACTCCTGCTCCTGGAGTTGGGACTTACCTGCACAGGCTGGCCCCCCACTGACTGCAGGTGGCATGTCACCAGGCACCTGAGCAAAGCAAGCCACACTCCTCTGAGCCCCCCTGTCCTGTGGGCACGCTGTGTCCTGCCCGTCGAAGAAACCCCTGACCCCACCCCACACCTGGTCCTGGTCTGTCCCTCCTCCAAAACTCCGGAGCACTGATCTCTGCCCCACCCTTTGCTTATATGCCATCGATATTGTCCACTTAGATGGACTATGGGCTCCCTGGCACTTCCCTTGGTGCCTCCCACACAGCATGTCCCCAGTAGTATTGTGGCTGCGGAGGTGGTGGACCCATGGATGAGTGGATGGTTGGATGGGTAGATGGATGGGTGGGTGTATGGTTGGGTGGGTAGGTGGCTGGCTGGCTGGGTGTGTGGGTGGGTCAGTGGGTAAGTGGGTGATTGGACGGGTAGATGGGTGGGTGGGTGGATAGGCTGGTGTATGATTGGGTAGCTAGATGAATGGGTGGGTGGGTGGATCAATGGGTTGATGGGTAAGTGGGTGGTTGGACAGGTAGCGGGATAGGTAGGTGGATAGGTGGGTGTATGGTTGGGTAGGTGGATGGGTAGATGGGTGGGTGGGTGAATGGTTGGGTGTGTTGATGAGTGGGTGGGCAAATGGATGCGGAAGTGGATGGGTGGGTGATTAGGTGGGTAGATGGATGGATGAGTGGGTTGATGGGTGAGTGAGTGGATAGATGGGTGAATGGACAGGTGAGTGTGTGGCTGGGTAGGTGGATGGGTGGATGGATGGGGGTAAATGGATAGGGGGTGGATGGGCGGGTGAGTGGATGAGTAGATGGATGAATAGCTGGGTTGATGGGTGGGTGAGTGAGTGGATATTTAGAAAGGAAAGCAGATTCTTCCCTCAGGGAGCTTGCGAACTAAGCAAAGAAGTAAAACCAACCTCTGAAGGCCGTATTGGCAGAGATGGTCCTGAGCCACAGGTGACCCACATGTACTTTGTTCATGGTTTTAGAGCATCCTGTATGATTATTCAGTAGCTGCTTACCATAGACTGACTGGAATTCACCAGCTAGGTTTTGGAACAGTCAAACCAGGTTTCTTTGCAGGCTTACCCCTGGACTCATGTTTGGCCTGGGCTTAGGTTAAACCACACACCACTCCTCCCCAGCCCAGCGGAAGGGTGATGGGCAGGAGCCAGGCAGAGAGGGCAGGCAGCTGGCCTGGGACAGCTCACTCCCATGAGGGGCAAAGAGGGGCACTGAGGGTGCGAGAGGTGTGTTTGTGCTCACTGTGGGCCAGCTGTGACCAGCCCTGCCCTGGGCCATGCCAGTGGTCATAAAAGGTGTGCCCCGGACCCTGTGCTCTGGGAGGAGCTGGGACACAGACGGGCCCCAAATCCACCAGATAGTGAAGGGACCCCGGGCCTGCTCTGCGGTGTTGGCTATGAGACTGGTGGGTTGTCTGAAGACAGCCCTCCAGAGGGACTCGTAAGCCCTGCTAGGACCACGGCTGCCGAGCCCAAAACGAGCGAAGCAGTGTGCGTGAGTAGGTTGTTCAGTCTTCAGACAGATATTTGACGGTGGTCACTCTCTTCAGGTGAAGGAGAAAAGGAAGTGGGCATTTTAGAAGTTTTTCTGAAAGGGGTTTAAGGTTTTCTTGTTGAACCCTGCTGAACCAGTTTCCCCTAGAGGCAGGTGTTGGGAGCATGCCTCACTACTAGGGGGCGTGCGGCTGGCGGGTGGCCGAGCGGGACCCGAGCAGGTGGCTGGAGTTCCAGGGTGGCGCCCACTGTGCGCGTGCCAGGTCGCGGCGGTTCTCACAAGCAGATGAACGGGGTAGGCCTGTCCTCCGTTGTTAGTTGTCATCGAATTGATTCCAACTCATGACGACCCCGTATGTGCAGAGTAGAACCGCTCCATAGGGTTTTCAAGGCTGACCTTTCAGGAGCAGGTCACCAGGCCTGTCCTCCCACGTGTCTCTGGGTGGGTTCCAACCGGCAATCTTTTGGCTAGTAGTCAAGTGCTTAACCATTTGCGCTACCCAGGGACTCCTGACCTATCCCCTGTTGTGTGCTGTCGAGTCAATTCTGACTCATAAGGACCCCATGTGACAGAGTAGGACAGCCCCATAGGGTTTCCACGGCTGTAATCTTTATGGTAGCAAATCGCCAGGTCTAACTCCTGCAGAGTGGCTGGTGGGTTTGAACCGCCTACCTTTGGCTTAGCAGCCGAGCGTTTAACCATTGCCCTACCCAGGAACTCCAGGCCTATCCCCTAGGACAGCCGAAGTCCGTGGTTTGCATTTTTTAGTCCTGGCGTCACCTAACCCCGTGCAATGATCCCGATGGTGGTGAGGTTGGGGAGAGCTGTGCAGTCAGGGTACACGGTCCCCTTCCCCGAGAGCCCCCACGCTGGGCTTGTGTGCATGTGCGGATGCAGATGTTGCTTCCTTTTCCCTGCAGCCAGTGTGGGCTGACCCCTGGCCCCCCTGGCCCAGTCTGAACTGCCCTGTGCTTCTCTCCCTCCAGGTGTGGTACAGAGAGGACGTCAGCTACTCCAACCCTGAGGGCTCCTGCTGGTCCCTTGTGGACACCCCAGGGGAGACGGTCCAGATCAGCTGTGGGCCCCACGATCTCCTGTGGGCTACGCTCTGGGAGGGGCAGGCCCTGGTTCGGGAAGGCATCAGCAGGCATAATCCCAAAGGTGGGCACTTGGGGCGCCCCATGCCCCGGAGCTGGGAGATGTGGAGGGGCGCCCGCTCCCAGCCCTCCCAGCTGATGGAGGCCGCCTGGGTTTCCTTCTGGGGCTGCAGGAAGTTCCTGGTCCACTGTGGAGCCCCCCATGGCTGAAAACGGGATCATGCACGTCTCAGTGGGCGTTAGCGTGGTCTGGGCTGTCACCAAAGACCGGAAGGTAAGATGGGGCACCCAGCACTGGCTCTTGTGGACTCTGTTAAACATGTTGTTGGGTGCTGTTGAGTCGATTCCAACTCATAGTGACCCCATGTGACAGAGTAGAACTGCCCCATAGGGTTTCCTAGGCAGTAGTCTTTATGGGAGCAGATTACCAGGTCTTTCTTCTGCGAAGCCACTGGGTAGATTCAAACTGCCTACCTTTAGGTTAGCAGCTTAGTGCTTAACCATTGCACCACCAGGGCTCCTCTGTTTAACATGGGTGGTTGTATTTTTTTGTTCTTAACAGTGTGGTCTAAGCCCATTAGAACAAATCAAGCAATGTGCATTTTCTGTTGTCAAAATGGTTGGTGCTCTCCAGGATGTTTGGTGCCTCCAAAATCCCCCCCGCCCCCATATGCCAACCCTCCATATAAAAATGCAAAACAACAGTATTTATCGTAACGTTACCTTAACATTTCAAATAACCAGAAGCTAATTTACTGAAGGAGTCCCTCGGTGGTGTAAACAGTTAAGGCACTCAGCCTCTAACCAAAAGGTTGGAGATTCGAGTCCATCCAGAGGCCTCTCAGAAGAAAGTCCTGGCGATATAGTTCTGAAAAATCAGCCATTGAAAACCCTATGGAGTACCGTTCTACTCTGACACACACGGGGTCACCGAGAGTCAGAACCGACGGGGGACAGCTAGCTCAGTTGGCATAACAGTTTATAAAGAAAATGTTCTGCATCCCACTTTGATGAGTAATGTCTGGGATCTTAAAAGCTTGTGAGCAGCCATCTAAGATACTCCACTGGTCTCACCTCATCTGGAACAAGGGAGAATGAAGAAAACAAGATACAAGGGAAACATTAGTCCAAAGGACTAATGGACCACAACTACCACAGCCTCCACCAGACTGAGTCCAGCACAACTGGATGGTGTCCGGCTACCACCACTGACTGCTTTGACAGGGATCACAATAGAGGGTCCCGGACAGAGCTGGAGAAAAATGTAGAACAAAATTCTAACTCACGAAAAAGACTAGACTTACTGGTCTGACAGAGACTGGGGAAACCCTGAGAGTATGACCCCGATACCCCTTTTAACTCAGTACTGAAGTCACTCCTGAGGCTCACGCTTCGGCCAAAGATTAGACAGGCCCATAAAACAAAGTGAGACTTAGTGGGCACATCAGCCCAGGGGCAAGGACGAGAAGGCAGGAGGGGACAGGAAAGCTGCTAACGGGGAACCCAAGTTCGAGAAGAGGAGAGCGTTGACACGTTGTGGGGTCGACAACCAATGTCACAAAACAGTATGTGTATTAGTTGTTTAATGAGAAACTAATTTGCTCTGTAAACCTTCATTTAAAGCACAATAAAAAATAAATAAATAAACAGCTAAAAATACTTTAAAAAAAAAGTTGGAATCGACTCGACAGCAACTGCTTTAATTTACTGAGACCCTCAGTTAATTGCCTGCCTCCCCATGTTCCTATGCAGCGCTTGCCATTTTTGTTTTGATTTTATCAGAGGCAGGGTACAATAGAATAAGTTAACCTCAGATTCCTCACCTGATTTCTCTTTAACCACATGTCAAGGGCCCACCCCCCATCCTGGTAGGATCGGGGGCGGGTCTCCCACATCTGCACCTGCTTCTCCAGTGCTGAGGGTTCCGAAGCCTCAGGCCCCCCGCCCCCCCGCCAGGACGTACAGATGGCACTGTTCCCCCGTGAGTCCCCAGGCACCCCACTGCCCAGGACCACAACTGCCCGCCCCCTCCTTAGAGGATGTGCCGTCTCTTCAAATTAAATGAGAAAAAAATTCAGTTGATAAGCACAGGCTGCTCAGTCTTCAGACAAGTATTTGATGGTGCTCACTTTGTTAAGGAGAAAAGGAAGTGGATGTTGTAGACATTTTTATAAAAGGGGCTTGAGTGTTTTCTCATTTAACCAGCTTCCGTGAGTACTCACAGCACGGCCCCTCAGTGGATGCGGCCTTGTCCAGGCCACCATGCAGGATGGGCAAGGATGGGCTTTGGGGAACATGGGGGTGGGCGGGGGGGAGGCAGGTGTTACGGGGCTGGAGGGACAACGACCAGGTGAGTCATGGGGCCATAGGTAGGCCTGAGGAAAATGTGGCTGGATTGTGTGTATTTTTAAAAGCTGACATGAAAAAAATTAGGCTTCAAGAGACTGTCTCATAAAGCACTAAGAATAGACTCAGAACATGTCATTTTTTTCTAATAATGAGTTTAGAAAAGTAATTTTCCTGAATCACATCAGAAAGGCCATTCTCCTTCACAAAGGAAAACAGGATTCGATGAAACGGCCTTTTCCAAGCTTTACCCATGAGGGAAGTGGAGCATTGAGGAGTGGATGCCACCTCCGGGGCTGCTGTGTGTGGGGTGTCTCTGGTCAAGGGACAGCATCAGCTGGGGTTGGGGTTAAGGTTAGAGCTAGGGGTTAGGGTTTAGGTTTAGGGCTAGGGTTTAGGGGTAAGGATAGGATTAGAGGTTAGGGATAGGGTTAGGGATAGGATTAGGGTTAGGGTTTAGGGTTAAGGTTAGGGTTTAGGGGTAGTGTTAAGGTTACAGCTAGGGTTTAGGGTCAGGGTCAGCAGATTCCAGATCTAGCTGGTGCCTGTGCTGACTGCCTATGGACCGGTTCCTGTCTAGTTCACTCCCTCAGCAAATGCCTGGTCCCTGGAAAGCAGGCGAGACGCCATCGGCGTCTCCGCTGGGGAGAAGGTTCTGTGGAGATTGAGACAGCCAGGTGTCTGCTGGAGTGGTAATGGTCGCCAGCCAGGGCACGGAACCAGAAGCTGCCAGGACTGATTTCGCTGATGGTAGTTGACCCCTCAGCCCTGTGGACAGGAGGAGGAGAGAATGTGGATAGTTGATGTTCCTACTCTAAACCATTTGCTGCGCTAATTTGTGGCATGAGCGAAAGAATCAAATTATTCACTTGTAAAATGGTACAACCACTTTGAAAATCGATTTGGCGCTTCCTTAAAAAGCTAGAAATAGAAGTACCGTACGATCCAGCTATCCCGCTCCTTGGAATATATCCTAGAGAAATAAGAGCTGTTACATGAATAGATATATGCACACCCATGTTCATTGCAGCACTGTTCACAATAGCAAAAAGATAGAAACCTAGGTGCCCATCAACAGACGAACGGTTAAACAAATTATGGTATATCCACACAATGGAGTACAATGCAACGATGAAGAACAACGATGGAGCTGTGAAACATCTTATAACATGGAGGAATCTGGAGGTCATTATGCTGAGTGAATTTAGTCAGTCACAGAAGAACAAATATTATATAAGACCACTATTATAAGAACTCAAGGAAAGGTTTAAACACAGAGGAAAACATTCTTTGATGGTTACGAGGGTGGGGAGGGAGGGTGAGGGTTATTTGCTAACTAGATAGTAGATAAGAATTAGGTGAAGGGAAGGACAGCACACACTACAGGGGAAGTCAGCACAACTGGACTAAACCAAAGCTAAGAAGTT